GACTGAATTCTAATTCCTGAGTATAAAATAAGAAAACAGTTAAAAAAAAAAAATCAAGGAAAGGAAGTCTCTGGCTGACTCCAAGGTACTGTTAGCCAGCATTTATCTGAGAAGCTGTTTGGCTGTAGAAGTTTAGAGTTCAGCTCATCAGCATTCTGACATAACTGTTTTCTTTTAGACCAGATTATTTTGCCTCCTTAATATTTTCAGAGTTAACTATGAGATGTACCACTTTCTTTCTTAACATTTTTGCTCTGGAAAGCTCTCTGAGGCCGTCTTTTCCTCACTGTGCCTTCCTTCAAGATGGAGCACATCTCTCTTTCTCAACTATGTCTTTTCAGAATTCTTTTCCTAGTTCTTGCCCCACAGACATACAAAGCACAGGTTTATATTAAATAGTGCTGTTGGAATTGTTTGCTGCTTTTCATTCCCTGTAGTTAAGCTCTGAGAGAGAATACAACACCAGGGAACCTTTTGAAATTTGTATCTCTAATGTAATTCTTAACTAGCAGATTTTCTCCAGGAATTACTGGAATTTTGTGGGTTTTGCAGGGCTTTCAAGATTCAAAAAAAAAAAAAAATCATCTGCATAGTTATTAGGCCTTAAGTGTCTAGGTTTTGGTCAATTCTTCATAGATAAACCACATGGCAAACTTGTCATCCTCTGTCCATTCCCTGTTAGCTTTTTAGCTTTTGATGCTTTCAGGTCACCTTAATTTGGTTTTTGGTACACACATAACCTGAATAAGAGTGAGACCTTTTAAAATAATATTTCTGATTAGAGCTACATGTATACACCTGCATCAGTGAGCACCTGTGGGGAGCATGAAAGTCTTGTTCCTTAGTTCCTTCTAAATGTTTGTGGCATTTAGTGAGAGCCTGGCACATGGGAATGTCTGTTCTCTTTCCTTTAGAAATGCTTTCTGCCACAGATGTAAGTACTCTATGGTGTCTTTTTGAAGGTTTTTCTTTGTTCCTGATATGCCTTCACTGCTAAAGCTCAAAATAGGTGCTTGGACCTTTTGATCTGGACATTTGACTGCAGCTTCATTCATTGATGCAACAGATAAAGCTCAACCTTGAGCTCAATGACCTGGAGAGCCTCCTACTCATGTGCTTCAGAAATGATGCGGTGCCAAAGTTCACAGTGACTGGTCCTTGTTACACGGAGCTATTACTTCAGGGATTGGTGCCAGTTCTAGCTGAAGCCTCAAGCCATCAAGTGAGGTCAAAAAAAGTAGATGCCTGGTGCCATTTGGTGTCAGCTGAAAAGTCATGGAAGCAAATCTTAATGAACTGTTAGGACTTTAAAAAGTCATAAACACAAGAAGATTCTGCATCTCACAAGGAAGAATAGTTGCATTTCCCCTAAAATTGCAGCAGCCTAATCAACTCACAACCAAATGTCACCTCCATGTCAGATCTGCAGGGACATGGGGACTGTGCTGGCCAACAGACTGAGAACCATATTCTTTCAGCATACTTTGCTGGCATTATCATATTGCTGAACTTCAGGAGACCATTTCAGTCTCATTCCACAAAACCAAAGATTTCATACTGTGCCATGAGCCCTTGGTCACACAAATATAATAGGCCTCTACCTTAACCTGCATAACAGAGCAGTACCACCTTTCATTTTCTCCAGGACATATGCTAGTCTTCATAAGAGAAAAAGTTATTTAGCATATTTACTTAGCTACCAAGAACAAGCTTTCTTGTTTTCACATGAACACATGTCCAAATGGGTAAAAAAAAGATTTCATTTTTAAAGCAAATTAAAGAGCATTATTAGAGCACTGTTATTAAATTTTCTACCAAAGTTTTTGTCCTTAAGACTTTTAATTAGTGTTTCAGTACTTGGTTGCTTTCACCATGTTCCAGATTGAGGGCACTTCCAGTAAGAAACTGCATCAAAAGGAAAGCTGAAGCCGTATCAGTCACTCAGAACAGAGGAAATGCAACAATTAAGGCTTTTCCTCCAATCTTAATTTTTCCTTCTTGTTTGTAGACATTGTAGTATTGTCTTTAATTACATGATCATATACTATTTTGCTGATGTCTCAATTCAATTGTTCAGTATTTCTTTTCATCATCCTTATTCTTTATGTACCTTATTTTTCAACCTGCCATTCAGACACTTCAATGAACACAAAAGTATTAATTTTTTTTTTCTGAGAGTGTGTGGTAATGTTATCTTATCTGAGTGCCTCACAAACATCAGTTCAGTCTTTCTTCCCAATCCCTTTATGAGATTAGGTGTGATCTTCCCCATTTGACAGATGAAGAATTTACAGAAACACAGAAGTACAGAAGCATTAATGTTTTAAAAAAAATTTAAGCCCACTTTATGCCAATGTTGAGATATCTGTGATAAGTTGCTAGCACTAATTATGTTTAAAGCATTCAGATCACATTTAAAGCACATTTAAATTACAATTATGTTTTCTTTGTAAATCTGATCTCTGCCCCGTACACTTGCACCAACAAAACAATCGTAGCATAATGCTAGCATGAAGATTTTTTGCTGAAAAAATCTTTAGAAATGACTCCTGACAGTACACACCCTACATAAAATTCAGCAGAGGAAACTGTTGTTTGTAGTTGTGCTAGAAACTCCTATTAGAGGATTCAGTGCTCCCAGTTGACTGAGATGAGGTCATTTGTCTACCTTACTAGTACTCTGCTGATCTAAAGTACACAAAATGTACCTCCCTACATGACAGAAATTGTGGCAAAATTCATAGCACTTCTAGGATAATTTTGTTAAATACAGAAATACACTACACCTCCTCTGCAGTGAAAAGTGTTTGTACATACATACATTTGCCAAATAAATACATGAAGTTTCTGGAGACTTTTAGTAATGAGAAATATGTATTTATGTTTCTTTTTATTTATTATTTATTTATTTATTATTCATTTTATTTCATCTATTTATTTATTATTCATTTTATTTAATATGTATTTATGTTTCTTTTTAGGAACTTGAACAATACAAAAGAAATGCATCTAAATCCTGGAAAGAAATGGATTTTGACTCCGATGGATGAACTGCTCTGTCTTCAGTTTAACTCCATTTACAAAATTATTTTTATAATTTTTACATTCCATTAGCAATTTCATCTGATGCAGTTGAAAATATATAATATCAAACTATGAAGTTGGTATTTATCAAGCATCCCTATTGTTATTTTTATAAAAGGAGCTGTTTATTCACAGTCTAAATTAATTTATCTTGGCACTGGCAAAGAGTTTTAAAAAGTGGGGAGAAAGGAATTCTAGATTGCTCTCACATGGGTTTGTATATGAAGACTGGCATTAGTCAGTTCAACCTCATTTATATCACATTATTTGATTTACTTTTGAATACTTCTACACTATGCATATATTTAAATATAAACAAGTTTCACACCCAAAATATGAGATTATGTAGTGTCTAGGCATCTTTTTGTAGTTCAAAACCAAAGCTTAAGAAATACTTGCATAATTGTTTGATTTATTTGAATAAATAAAAAAAACCTAAAACTGGCAGAAGTGGAGTTAAAACGTTCTTTGACCTGAATTCAGAAGTGTGCATTCTCTGTGTCACAGAATAATACAGTTTAATACAGGATTTACTTCCTGCAATGTATAATGTCACACAGAGTTTACAAGATGGATGTTTCTGTCATATATTCAAATGCTAGGAAGTCAGTCTAATTAATTTGACAGATACTTGGTTAGTGCTGAGAGTATTATTGATTCACATTCAGCCTACAGCAGGAATGGGTTTTTGTCCATGTACACCTCTCTAGTGTGAGATGCACTGAGTGTTCTGAGAATCCACAGGACAATCCAGATTAAAGCCAGAGGTGTCTCCTGAGAGTTCAGACTTGTCAGAGAGTGAATGTCGAACAGTCACTTGGCAAACCAGATCAACCCTACATGCTCATAAAAATGGGAGAGACAGACTAATCTGGTATCCTTCCAGCTATTTAAAACTATTTGGTATTTTTAACATATTCGTTCACCAGATGTTTTTCTGATAACAACATTTATATCTCAGAATATTTTACATAAAGATACTAGAAAAATACACTTAAGTGGAAACACTGTATTACCTTGAGGATTGGATTTAAAATTCCTTGTTATGAACTGCCTCTTCTCGAAATTATCATATAAAACTAGCTATATAATTACAGAATTTTAAGATACAAATATACTTATGTCCTTGGAGAAATCTGTCTCTCTGCAAAAACTAATTTCTTCACAGAACATGAAAATAAGATACAAAATTTAGGAATTCTGTGTCTGTTATGTTTTCAGTTTTGAAAGGCCCATGAGAAAAATTTCCAAAGATGAAAATAGCATTGCTTCTGACAAACAACTTTCATATTTTTCCCTAGTTAAATTGACATTTTATTAAATAAAAGCAAAACATTATTAAACAAACATTTTTTTTCCTTGTAATTCATAAACTGCTTCCAAAACAAGATTAGAACTTGACAGTGAAAAGAAAGAATTGATATAAATAATCTGTCTTCACTGATTTACTATCAATTACAAGGCAAAACCAACTTGGGTAACTTTGATACTGCTTCAAGATGCTGTACTTATCAGTTGCATAGTGTGTATAAGATTAAAATGGAGTGAGTTCTTGATTCTGTCTTTACACATATCTGGTTTCTTTCCTCTCTACAGATTCCTCAAATGGTATCAAAACAAGACATAAGACTGAAAACACAATCCTAGAAATGAGATTTACTAGCAGTTGGACCCCTCTATTTACTAGTAGTGGTTAAAAAATAAAATAGTGGGGGAAAAATTAGAGCACCATTGCTACATTGTTAAAAACTGTCAGCAATAGCTGACTAAATTAAATCAGAAAGCCCTTTAAAACATGAAATACTGTTGATTATGGCTGATCTGGAAATCAACCAGAAGAGAGGGGTGGGGAATACCAATATCAGGAGTCATTCACACTCTTAAGAGAACACTGGTTTTCAAGGTGAAAACAAACATGAGAAGATGGATATGTCTTTATATGTGTAATCATTTACATTCTATCTAAAATCCAACAATATAAGCCTTGGACCATAATATATTAAAAAGTATACTATTAGAGACTGTTGGAATTGCTACTTTTTCATTGTCAGTCAGTAATTCTCTCTTAATTTGAAGCATAGAATTGCAATAATGACAAGTACTGGTATGAAAGCATAGAGTATGAGGAAATCAGCTGTGAACCTGGACAATGCCCCAGGATAGTTTTCTTCAATGAACCGGACGCCTTGAGAGAGAACACAGGCAGCATTATTTGCAGTGGAACTGTTGGCTCCACCTGTCAAACGAAACAATAGTAGGTAAATCAGTAAAATTAAAACTCAGATAAAAATATGTAGCCTTGGAGAGGAGCACAGACACCTGGCTACAATACCCCAAATATCTTAGGGTAGGTTCCAAGCTGTAAGTTTTACCTCACTAATGTCTATTAGCTACTAACCCTGCCACCCTGACTGATTCTCTTGTTTTGCAGGTTGTCTGGCTCACAACCAGCAAAGCACAACCTGACAGACCCAAGTAAATGGGTCTCAGTAAATACCATGGAAACACATTTGAACTGAAGCCTCTCTAGTATTAAGAGGAGATACCTGGTCAGCTGTTTGTTACCTCTCAATACTCCCTCCATTGATGTTTGATCTTAGATTGTGCAATTTTCTTGATGCTCTATTTGTGTAATATTGCACAAAAAATTAATTCCAGTCTGTAATAAACTTAGCTTCCAAAATTCCTCCAAAGAGGGGATAAGAGAATAGGTGAAAAAGAGGAAGATGTAAGAACTGGAAGAATGAGAAATGGTTGGAACAAAAGAATAAAATTCTGCTCTAGCTTGCTGATGTGGCATTATAGTCTTCACTAATTAGTAAGTTCTTGTTAGCAACTCAAAAGTTACCTTTATTTTATCAGGATACATGTACAAAGAAGGAAAATAAGCATCAACATCTCATTAAAACTATTTATAATGGACTTTTATTTGAACACTTACCACATGTGAAGTTTAAGCCATAAAATTCATTGACTACAAGGATTTCACTGCTGTATCTTTGAAATGTAATAAAACTAAGTAGTTTCAAAGGTGTTGGCATTTCTTCAAGGGTCCTTAAAGAAACAGAGAAGTTAAGCTGGCTTTTGCTACATACTAAGTGACCCCAAATTAAAACAAGCTCTCATTGTTTATAACCTGTGACAAAAACAATTTTTGTCTCTACCTGTAGGGTTTTCAAACATAAAGTCCAATTTTAGGGCTAAATGATGAGACAACCATGAAGGCTATCCCTGACTTTGGTACAGTGTCACAACATTCAGCCCTGATTTGTTTATGAACAGTCACAAAGAATTCTATTGTTTTTTGCTGTTCACATGGCAGTGATAAACTGAAAATGACAAGGCCCAATATAAACCTTACTTGCAAAAATGACTTGCTTTCAAAGTAAGAAACCACCATCCCTCCCTCCATCATCAAAATCAAGTAATACTGAATAGGAATTCACTGCCACAGTAATAACAAAGCAAAAATGAAGCAAAAATAAGGAGAAGAAACATTCAACAAGACAGGGCAATTTCAGCATCTAACATACTTCAAGACTTATAATTCAACAACAACAAAAAAAAAACAGGAAAAAACCCAGCAGCCTAAGTCTCCATGCTATTTTTAATGTCCTTCATTGCTTATGAAGATCAATCAAAAAGATTCATAATATTAATGAGCAAAGTCTGTGCTGTAAAATGAAGTTAGAAACCACTGTAATGCTTTTAAGTTATCATTAAGGCATTAGACTATGGTAGCAGGAATAAATGTCTTTTACTATAAACACACATCTTCCTGAAATTAGGCAGGGACTAAATAATTAGACATTAACCTAGCTTTATATTGCAAATATGAGCTGAGATCTACTTTAAAGAGACAAAGCATCATCAAGTTTGTGAAGATTCAGATGGTTTTCTTGAGGACAACACCATGTATTGTTAGGCTTACTTCATTTTCATTGGGAGGGTCTCAGGTAAACATATCGTACTTGCTCAGCATCTTAGGAAAACTGCTTTTAACAATTACACATTTGTTCTGGTATGTCCCTCAAAAACCCCAGTAATTTCAGTATTGACAAATACAAGGGGGAAACTGTTCAAAATTCACACAATTAAAACACAAACCCATCTATTTGCACAGTTATAGAGCAAGCAGATCATTATTTTCTTGCGTATTTACTACACTACTCAATAATTTTTATAGATTTCAGCCTGAACAGGTAGAAAAAGGGACTGAAAAGTTTACTGGCTAAACTGGATAATAATACTGGTAAGATACTTGAGAGCAACTGCTTTTTAAAACCAGCATTACCAGTGTTGAATGTCATAAGTTCCAGCAGTTACTAAAACATGTAGGAACAGGGATTTTTGGTAGGCTCCTTCAATGAGGACAGCATTTCACATCATCATGTCAGCATCAATAAAAGAATTCAGATGAGCTGATAGATATTAATTTTTCAGTTTTATCTTCAATGTATTTGCAAAAACTGGGTGAAATGTTCAATATCTTTGTGGAGATCTAAAGATACTAAGTGTCTGGTTTTGTGTTTAGTACAAGGCCGAACAAGATTAGGTAGTTCTGCTGCTGAAGGAGCACAGCAGCTCTTGCTTTTCCATTGCTACCTCTGCATGACTGGATTTCTGCAAAAGCAACTGTTCTAGAAACTCTTCCACATCAATGTTAACAGCAACACTGTAACAAAGTAAGATTTTTTCCTACCTTACTAGTCCCGTTCCCACTATCACACCAGCTGAATTAAGAAGCACAATGCCACTTTGGACTATATTTGGGTCTTGAACCATGCCAAGTATAACAAGTGTTATTAGTTCACCAATCATGTGAGATGCTAGGACAACAGCAAAGAAAATTCCAAATCTGGAAGCATCAGGATACAATCCTACAGTCCTGTACAAAGATGAGCAAAAGAACAGTTAAAAAACAATGTTTGAGTAATAAACTTGAAAAGTAGCTTTTACTTTTGTTTCTATTTGGGTTTTTTGCAGTTATAGCTCATTAGGTGAAGAATTTATGCCTTAATCCTTAGTATATTGTTTGGAATCTTAACACAAAGGACATCCACTTACTATCATTATGTAAGTGCAGATACATGAGGTTTTCTCCATCTAGATTGAAGAGGGTTATGCAAAGATATAATTCTTGTAGAAACCCAGGTTTTTCCAAGACAACCACCATGGCTTTTCTATTCCTTAAACTAACCTGCTGCTTTATGTAAAGTCTTTGCAGTGGGAATCATTCATGTAAGTCACATATTTAAAGAACATCCTTATGCAGGTAATTAACAGATGGGATTTTGCACTTCTGATAATGTGCAAGCAAACATAAGCATGGATATATTCAATTAAATGAAAAACTAATTGAATTCACCGCCCATGTAATTCCCACCAATGCAATTTCCCCCATACTCCTGAATTCTTTTATGCAACATGCTGTTCTCAGTTTTCTCCTAGTTAACCCAAGGAAAGAGTCCTCTCAATCTACACTCAAGATTAAAAAGTTAAGAAAAGCCTGCAACTGCTTGACAAAGTTAATTCAGCCTTATAGTGTATGTGACAGATGACAAAACCCTTTATTACACTGTGACACATTACTCTTTTTCCAAAATACCTCATACTAAAATTGCCTCACACTAGGTGCACGCTGCATGCTTTGCTTAGCTCACAAGCAGCAATTTGATATTTAATTTTCTTTTTTTGTTGCTCAGTGTAAGACCCTATGGGGTTTTTTTAAATCCACTATGTTCAAATATGGTCTTAAAACAGAAGTATCAATTTTCTTATAGGCTTTCCTGTAGTGTTTCTTGTAACACCAGAATATTTTATAAATAGATGGATGAACATTGATCCTTCCAGTATTAAACACTGTGAGGTAGCAGGTATTTAACATCTTTTAAGTACAGATTGGTGCAGAAGAAACAGTTTTCCAAAGTCCTACCAGAAAACTATCACCTCTCAGCTGCCCTACTTTACACAGAGATATGGAGACATAGGCTAGTTAATCTGGGGTATGAATAGAACAGAACAAAGAAAGAAACAGCCCAAAGAGAGAATATTACAGCAACAGAATAACAACATGATGTGAACTGTTAGAAGATTTCCCAGAGGTATCTGCAGCTAGGAAAATCTGCACAGACAGGGCCTTCACTTGGTTGCAAAAGAGGCTCTCTTTGAACTTGGCCAAACCTTCCTTGTGTCTGATCAGGTCAGAGTTTGGGTCTGCCTGACCCAACTGGCTGCCTCCACAAACACAAACTCTACAAGAAATGGCTTGTAAGAGCACATGCCAGAGGCTGTCAAAGCCTCTCAAAAAGTTAGTTCATTCCATAAAGTTCAATCCTGCGTAACAACTGCCAAAATTTCATCCAGAAACTGCTTGCCCTCAGAGGTCTAAGAGCATTGTGAAATCACTTTGACACATCCCTGATGGCTTCCAAACAACTGCAATATTGGAAAGATAATACCTGTAAATATTATCCATTAACTGGAGCCTCACTATTTATTGTTGGTTGTGTTTGAGCCAACCAAAACATAGGGGCAAAGTCTCTGCCCATGTCAATTCCCTGTTTATTATGGAGTTGAGAGAGCCATGGAGCCTGGACAGCTGCTTGCCAAATGGCTCTTTTCTTGGCATCAGTGACAAACAGCACAGCATTTAGTGGAAGGAACAGTAATTTCTGCCTGTCTGTCTGTCTGTGAAAAAAAGGCTTCTCAGGGAGCCCTGCTTCAAGCAGGTAGCACTGACACCTTGCAGAAATAAAAGCACAGGTAGATAAGGGGATAAAGGTGGCTACTTTTCATATCCACACCAAACTACAAAACAACTTGCCCATGCATCCAACTCCTCACACCTGGAAGAGAAGAAATCTTCCTCTCAGCGATGCTCTCTTTTAATTGAGATTTCAAATGGAAAGAATTGAGTAAATACTGAGCATGGCCCTTCATTGTCTACTATAGAGTACAGAAGGAAGAAGGGAATAGTCATCCTTTTTTTCTGTTTTCCAGATGGGGGAAAATTGCTACAAAATTCCCTGTGCAGAAATTCTGCTTCAGAAGTCCAAGCAATTTTGTGTAGTTCTACTTTATCTGTTTTCCATCCATCTTACTGGAAATCAAGAGCACTAACATGCACAACTACAGCAGAATGGCTTCTTCTGCACTTTAGCTCTTTTATGAGGGTGTATCCACTTATCACTTTTGAACACCTCATCAGAAAACATGCATCCACAACACAAACCAAGCCTTCTCATCACTTGTACACATTTTACTACAGATTGCCAAATGATTGCAACCGTCTCAGGAAAACTAAAATTAACTCTGGTGCACTAGACATCTCTCAACATTAGAAAAGAAAAAGATTGAAGGACAGAAATTTGTCCTTTTCTCTGGAGGGTATAAGAAAGGGATCCAGATTTCATCACTTCCATATGCTGTAGCTAAACCCCAATGTCCCAGGAAATAAAAGTTTTGTTACTGTCGTGTGCCTACAGCTGACATCCTCAATTTGGTTTTTTTTTGTTTAGTTCAGTTTTTTGGGGGTTTTTTTTGATTGTTTGGTGGTTTTCTTTTTTGTTTTATTTTGGTGTTTTGTTTTTTTTTTGTTTGGTTCTTGTTTTGTTTGTTTGTTTTTATTTCCTGTCTTTCTAAATGCAATGTAAAATGACACGTCCTGCTTTCAATATGACAAAAGTATGATAACTCTCCCAGGTCCATTAAAACTTTCCAAATTACCTAAAGAATTGGTAATTTACTTACTGGGTGTGTGTTTTCAGCTCTGCCTGAAAGAGAAGGGCTAAGTTTGTGTTATCTTTCCTTATGCTTTCTGTGTAATCATTTTGAGAGACAACAGCAGGAAGCCATGCCAGGAGGCCTTTTGCTGACATGTTAACTGACACTGGTAACAAAAACAAAAAGACAACCCAACAGATGGTCCAAATGCTTACCAGTAAATGAAGGTGCTGAAAATGGCCACACTGATGACACTGAAGGGCAGGATATGGACTATATAGGCCACAAGCATTTGCCATTTCTTATACAGGCCATCTTTACTTTCTTGGTCACTGATAGCACGTAGAGGTGGGACTGAATTAAATATATAAGGAATGAAGTAAATTACCATTAAACAGAAAGAGCAAGACTTGCTATTAGCAGAAACGATCTGAAGCACAGAGACAACTTTGAGAATATATCACAAACATTCTGCCTAAACCACTCTGATCCCTTTTCCCCTCACTGTAAATGCAAAGCATTTTTGCATGTATGCAGATTGCAAATATTGGTAGGCTTAATGAAAGAGGCCTAACTTATCAATATGCAGGACAGCCTTCTCTTTTTGCATATACAAATTAAGGACAAGAGAAAACCTCTGTCACTGGGCAATTTATTGAGGTGCTCTGATTTCAATCTGATGACAGCAGTGTATGTTCTCTGCATGAACAGTTTTTAGGGTTGCAAATAGAAACTATTATTGCTTTCAGTATGGCACCTGTAAGAGGAAAAATCCTTTTAAAAAATGTAATCACGTAATACTCATAAATTCAATTATGCTTAATTGCTGTCAAAGCTGGTTTGTATATCCATCTTTCCCATGTGTCTGGTTTTGAGCTCACTTAGCTATTAGCTAGACCTAGACTTTGTCTTGCCTATAAAATGCTACACACAGGGAAATCTTTTGCACAGTTTAGAATAAAGCTTTCACAGACAGGCCAGCTATAAAAAAGAAAGGCAGGGATCAGGGCATATTCCCTTAAATTCCATTGAATTTTGTGCTTCTGTATCAACTCTGACATTACCTAGACCAGTGAAGATCCTTTAAATTACTATCTTCAATAAAGACTTTTTCTTATTTAAGGCAGAGTGGCAGCAGCACCTGCTGCTGCACGTAGGACAGGACAGACAGACACTCACACAGGGCCACAGCATTGAGCATCCCTGTGTAGGGGGGGGCACTCACGCACTGGTAGACAAGCCCCACACGGTCCTGCACGGCTCCCTGGGCCAGGTCATTCCTTAGCCTAAGAAGGAAAAAGGCTACAAACAAGCCAAACAGCAGGTTCTGCAGGAGACGCATGATGATGCCTATCTTATCTCTGGAGAGATTTCTTGTTGTTCTCCTGATAATGAAACAAAACAACAATAAAAGGCTTGTTAGCTGCAGCTGAACACATGTTGGTAGGGTATTAAGCTTTGAACAAATCTTAGACACACAGTGCCCACCAAGAGCTAATATATCGAAAGACAAGGGACAAGTACAGTGGGAGATCAAATAACCAAGGAAGTGCATTTATACATGGAGGGGAAACCTGAAAGATTAGTGGAGAAGGAAAAAAATAATTGCTTTAAAAAGGGGGGCAGAGGAAGTCTTACCGTAAAAGAATCAGTATTTGGTCAAAGCCACTGGGTGAGTCTTTGTTTTTGAATGGTATTGGTAGCAGCTCCTTCATATACTTTGTTTTTTCAATGGCTGCCAGTACTTTGCTAAAGATCTCTGAGTTTCTATAGGCTGATACAAATTCCTGAACCCTACTGTAGGTTTCAAGTTCATGTTCCTTGCTTCGGGTGTCCACAGATGTCAGATCCACTGTAAAATGACAAAGCTTTTACTCTATATACACATCACTTTCCCTTCATACCTTTTTCCCTGTGCAACTAACTTCTTCTTGTCTCCATTCTAAAATATGCAAAAATGAAAAGGTCAGTTTAAAGTATTCAAGGCTTCTTTCTCCCTTCTGTTAGATGCAGCAGGAATTAATTAACTGTGCAGCCACAAGAAATCCGTGTTTTGTGACCTCTGTAGGACCCTGCAGTTCAGGTCCTTGATCTGGAAATGCAAGGCCCAAGCACTGAGCTGGTCAGACCTTCAGCACTCTCCTTGCACAGTACAGAGCTGTCGAGAGCAAGACAAAGCACCAGAGGATGAACATTTATGAAGATGAAGAGATGACTTATGTGGTCATATATTTCTCAGGTTTTCAGGCAAATGCTCAGACGTGGCTCCACAGCTCCCCCTTGTCCTCTGCCCACTCCTCCATAATTATGGAGCTTTATTTTTTGCTTAGTGTGAGCTCACACTGTAGAGACACTTCTCTTCTCTCCTTAAGCTGCTAATGCATTATTGCACTGGGTTTCACCTACCCTTTGCAGACATAATTTTAATGTGAAGTCAGAGGATGTTCAGCTGGCCAAATTCCCCTAGCAGGCTCAGCCCAAGCTGAAGGAAGTAATACTGACTACTGTGGAACTCAGGAAAGGTAACTATTTCACAGAGTTAATGTTCCTTTCTAATAAGCCCACCTAAACATACTCCTGGCACCAGCAATTCTTTTGCTGGCAGATGGGAAATTTGTGCGTTCCATTTTTACAAGTCACACAGATTCAGTAATAGTGCTAAAACACCTTAGAAATTTCCCTTTTCCCTAACAGCAATGAATTAGCCAAGGTTTTGAAAACTGGATTGTTGTTCTCAGCAATATTTGTTCTTACCCAATTTTATATTACTCTTCTACATCTGGTAAGATGTCTTCATCAGTTATTTATTCCTAAGGTTTCTCTCATCCTTAGATTTCAGTTTTGCAATGTTCTGTTCAACTTCAAAATGCAAATTCAACAAAAGGAGGCCTTGTCCAAGATTCTTAAGTTTCCTCAAAATCTGAATTAGACTTATGAATAGTTTCCCGGTGTTCTAAAAGCTGGAATTCAGCAGAATTGTCTTTAATGGTAAACACATCCAAAATGAAGCCTTCACTTTTACAAATGTGAACATCTGAAATGCAGAATCACTTTTTGAAACTTGGCCAGTGTGACATGCTGGAAGTCACACAGGAAATAAATGGCAACTGGGTGTGCTTTAAAAGAATTTTAACACTGACTACTAACTAGACCAAGTAGCTTAATGCCTACCATGCATTAGTACTTTTTACAAACGTGTGACAGTTCAGCAATATAATCCACACTCAATACATAGGATATATTTTCCTCTGTTGCTGGTGTAAATGATATCAGAATCTGTCCCTTCATTCACATCAAATCACACAAAAAAATATAAACTACCAATTTTCAAAAGACTAAATATTCTGATGATTCTTTGCTCTAATCTATATTTTTTTCCTTTCTTGTCACATTCAAAGGTTGACATTTGAAGAATGCAGTACTTCTTTACCAAGCTTTTTAAAAAGTGGGTCTAAATCTCAAATCATCTATGCTTTTCAAGACTATTCAAATTCATGAAGGCAAAATTATCCTCACTGTCATACCAGTATTTTCAGCTTTATCCCATTTCAGCTTCATGTCAACAACCATCCTCTCTTCTCACTGAGTTTAGAATGCCATGTAGACAATAGGAAAACACTGCCTGCTCTGAATGCAGCTTTTTGAATTGGCCAAATTTTCTGGTTAGTGCTCAGCCAGTATTACCAGAAATTACCCTAACACATTGGATGTAAATAGAGTCAGGTACATGGCTGCATATCTGTTCTTGTACAAATACATCCCTATTCTCTTCAAACCTGTGCCTGTATGGACGAGGGACATGGATGTCCTGCAGCAAAACCAAGTCTCATTTCCAGTCTCCTGCTGACTCATTTTTTTTCATCCTGAATTGGTAAAACAGTACTCTCCAGCTTATGCCAACAGCTATCATCACTTTGCTATCATCATCTCCTGAAGCACCCATTCTGTTCCAGTTGTTTACCCTGGTATTAGCAACTCCCCAAACTTTCAGAAACCTCAAACTCAGAATTCCTGGAAATTGATGCCTCAAGTCATCCCATATTTATTCTACATCCTTCCCTCCGCACAACTCTTTTAAGTTGCTTGTCATTTCAGAGTCTGGAGGACCATGGGATTTTCCACAGCTTTGGAATCAAATTAGTTTTCCAACATCCAGTGCACAGCCATAGCGAAATGCCATCAGGAATCTACAGATTTCATGAGGTTGAGATTGTTTTTTTAGTGGCAGTTTACTCCTTTACTGCAAATATTTAATGGAGTCATTAGGAATGACGTGGGGCCAGCCCCCTCTCTGAACTGAAAACAATTAAAAAGTTGGAGCAGAAAACAAATACATTTCTATCTCTGGAAAAACTTCAACTTGGGGAAAAAAACCAAATTGTTTTACCAAAACAACTTAGACAAACTTACCATAGAAATCAAAAGGATTTGATTGTTCAGGACAAGAATAGCCACAGTCACTAAAAAATGAGATCATTTCCATAGGGTTCCCACAGAAAACCATTTCTCCAAAGCTCATGATGGCTATTTTATCAAATAACTGTTGGGGGAAAATTAATATATTAGCAGTATCTACTAAGAATCACAGAATATGCTGACTTAGAAGGAATCCATCAGGATCATCTCGAGTCCAACTCCTGGCCCTGCATAAGACACCCAAGAATCACACCATGGGCCTGAGAGCATTGTCCAAAAGCTTCTTGAACTCTGTCAGACTTGGTGTTGTGGCCACTTCCCTGGGGAGCCAGTTCCCAACCACCCTCTGAGTAAAATCTTTTTCTAAGATCCAACCTAAACCTCCCCTGTCACACTTCAGGCCATTCCCTCAGGTCCTGTCACCAGTCACCACAGTGATCAGATCAGGAGTGCATTCATTCTTGAGCACAGCTACTGTCTTGGCAATAGAAAGGCTTTGATGGGAAAAATAGTTTTGACATATTCAAACTTCCTTACTGTATTTCTCCCAAAAGACATTTGTCCTTTCTTTCACTCCTCTCATTGGTGGTTATGCAAAATGACACATCTTTAACCTCTAGTGGTTCTCCAAACTGTCAATGACAACAGCGTACAGAGGTAATCCACAAAAAAAGATGTGGCTTTCTGACTTCGCTCCTAATGCACCTTCACTTACTGCCTGACCCCCTTTGGTGCTTCATACCCCACTCTGTAAAACCCCCCAAATTGTTGCCAAGATTATCCTGAAGTGCTTAAGGACTCTAACAGCACTGCTCTCAAGTGAATGTCTGCCAGGACAAGGTTCCCACCAGCTATGATCAGTCCATGCTCTCAAGACACCAGGGCTGCTTTCAGTCCAGAAAAACACTGTTGCTCCCCTCTGGCTCCACAACCATTTACACTCCATTCAGTCAGCCAGGGAAGAGGAGTTTTGCATTCATGTGGGAGGTGGTGGATAAGAGCAAAGTGAGAAACAGTAGTGGGAGAAAGTAGTGGGAGAAAGAAATCCTCTCCTCAGCACAAACCCTGCAAGGCAGGACTGCCCCACCATACAACCAAGGTGTATCCACATGCCTTGTCACGACTTCTCCCAGTGGTTTTGGTTTGGGCAGTTGCATAACACAAGTGTTAGGCACACAGTCAGACTCCAGACTATTTTCACAAGGCAACGTGTGCTAAGTGCCATGTGACTGGGACAAGGCCAGAGTTGCACAGTTCAAGAGAAGCCTCTAATTAAGCAAAGGGAAGGAAAAGAGGCAGCTATACTGGATCTTGTACTTCCATCCAGAAAAGAACCTATGTACTAAAAGGTCAGGTGGAAAAGCCAATAGTGAGGAGGTATCATCTACCTTGAAAAGTTCTGAGCGAGGCTGATGGATTGTAAGGATCACAATCCTGTCTCTGTGTGCAAGCTCTGAGAGAAGCAAGACAAGCTGGTTTGCAGTCAGGCAGTCCAGCCCTGTCGTTGGTTCATCAAGTAGCATGACCTCTGTCAAACAACAAGGAATAGCTTTAAAATTCAGGTAAATGAGGAGCAAATGGCATAGCTTCTGCCCTTAAAGCTAATTTGGCAAACAACATAGAAATCACTTTGCAGGTGAAGTTCCACACAGAAAGCAGGGTATACACAGATATTGCCATGACAGGATCTTTCAGTTTTATTTAGTTTCAGTGGTTCTGTTTCAATGACTAGGAATAAGGACATTAAAAAATACTTCAGAGCATAATATTTCTTCTAAATTCATGTGAAATCTGAAAATTACCAAAATAGTTTTGATGGATATATCTGCTTTCAAGAACAATAATGATAAATTTCAGCATTTACAAAATTGTAAACATAAGCGACAAAATTAGCTAGGAGTTATATATTCTGAATTAAATTTATATATACACATAGAATTTGTTACGAACAAACCAATAATTGTTAAAATACAGCAGATGCAATTCTATAGATTGAAGCAGATGTCACTGCCTTTTCTTCATTATTTTACTGCTCATGAAAGGGGAAAACTTATCACCAAATCTATTATTTTTATAGAGATGACACATAGCACAGAAGAGGGCAGTCCAGCCTTGATCAGGGTACGAGGAGAGGAGAGTTTTCACTCCAGGTTCATCTACACAGAATTATTATAGTGTTTACTGTAGAGTTTAGTGAGCTCCTGAGCAGCAACCACACCCCAGGAGTCATCAGTAGCAGGCATGTACCTCGTGCTATTTAAGCTCCTTCCTGCCTAACATGCAGTTGTAGCACATCCACATGGCTACAAGGACTCCAGCATCCAATAAATATGTGCTGTACATTCACTCCATGAGATTCTAGCACCTTCAAGAAACTCTCTCAAAGCTGACAAATTTTTTCCCATGGATAATCCTTCCATAGTTAGTCGACTTTGATTTCCTTTCACTGGAATTTTTTTGGCACTGGAATATACATGGCACTCACACACATACAGATCAAGGGCAGCTGCTCCACTACAGGGCTCAGTGCTTTCATATGTATGGCTCTAATGTACTCAAAAATGATAAATTAATGGGCCACAGCCAACATTTGGGAAGAGTGAGCCCAGAAAGACTTAAAATGGATAAATCCAAGATTTATGGATAAAATAGATAAATCCCTAAGATTTTTAATTTGTCTGCTTTCCAAGATCAACTAACAAATCAATGGCTGACCTCAGTTACTGCTTATTCTTTCCTGTCATCACCAGACTGGCTTCTGCTAAATTAAAGAATGCAAATGCTTTTGTATTTTAAAGTGGTTTACAGAGGCCTGTGGTAGGAGCACAGTGACACAGCCTTGCTTTATTTTGAAAATCCATGCAGTGGTACTTACTGGGATCTTGTAAAAGCTGGGCTGCAACTGATACCCGACGCCTCTCACCCCCAGAAATTCCTACGACATTCCGGCTTCCAATTATTTTGTCAGCAATGTGGCTGAGACTCAGCTCAGTCATAACTGCATCTACCTAAAAAATAATTGCAATTTCAAAACACTAAGAGAGAATCCACAAAGGATACCTGTGTGCAATGGCAAAAAAAAACCAGAAAAAAAGGACATAATTTTAAGTTACAGCTTTACCAATATCCTGCATGCATCCATTCTAGTTGGACAGTATCGGGCCTAATTTCTATTTGATTCTTTTTAATACATTATTTAAATTATTATTTTTTAAAATTTCATTTCAATGTATTCTGAAATGAGTCAATTTTAGCCTCACTTGACATTAAGAGATTAAGCGTTCAGAGGTGACTACAAGTTAAGGTGTGGAACATAATGTGCTCTGGCTTCCAAAATCAGGGAGCAGGAAGCACATCAATTCTGGGAAAGTATAAAGTACCGAGTGGGAGACTGGGGCAGAGAGAAGACAGAAAGCAAGACCCTCTGATCAGGAATATCCAGTTTTACTTTAAATAGAATTCAAAAAGAGTCCTTTAAGTAAATCCAAAACACACTGATTTAATCAAGAAAGTAGCTTGTAGGAGGCTTAGCAGACCAGTGCTTTTTTGAGCTGTTGTGGTTAGTGAGAGATATCCTACAGGAGACAGAGTGGTGCCAAAATCAGTTGTGCTGTCCATGACACTTGCCAGCACACATGGGCCCAAATACCCCAGAGAGCTAAGGCTCCCCCTGGGGACGGGGAACTGACCTCAATAGCAGGACCAGCATCGCCTGCAGGGGTAACTGCTTCAGCTTGGGGTGGGAGTTTTGTCCCAGTATAATGGGGATTTCCTGGGGCACCAGCACAAGCCCCTTGGAGAGGTGGGACCACCAGAGAGCTTGTGTTCTACCCCTCAGCAGGGAGATTTCTCCCCATTTGCAGAATGAGGATTACAAAACCTCATAAACGTAAAACACAGCCATGGATGGAAAGTGCTACTGGTGAAAACATTCCATGACATCCTGCATGACTTTTTGGTGGAAGACTGTAAAATACAAACCTTCTTCTTGATGGAGCTGTTGGAGCATTTCTTAAGAGTTAGTAAAGCTGTGTAGGTCAAAGACTCCTGTACAGTGAGAAAGGTTAACAAAGTGTCATTCTGAAAAAAAAGGGAAGAGGAAGGAGGAGTTAGTCTCGTAGTAATTAAAATTTTGTCCCTCTTCATGCAAGCCTAATCATTCACACAGCTTATTAACTGATTTGTCCCCAATTTCCTAGTAAAATCACATTCACATTACACTACTCCATTACACTAGCAACTTTTTTTTACACAAAAGGAAGCACGGTAGACAATAAACAAATATAGAAATCAACCTGTGGCACGTAAGAGAAGCAATCTCTGAACTGTTCCCTCTTCAGCTGACGTCCATTCACATACACTTCACCAAAGAAGTTATCTTTATGTCCCAGTCTGCCTGATATTGCATCCAGAAGTGTTGTTTTCCCAGATCCTTTCAGACAAAAGAAATTAATCATGTGCTGAGATGAATTTTATGACTCCAAGAGTCGTAGCCTGACTTGGACACATCCAAAAAGTACAAAGTTGGATTTTTTCCTCAATAACTTTAAAATAATAGGGCCTGAAAATGCAGCTAATTAAGGGAAGCTAAATGGGAAAATTAGATTGCAAATTAGCATTTAAATCATAAAAAATTCACACTTTGCAGTGAAACATTTGAGTTTTGAAGTAACCTTGTCTGTTATTGAAGTTGTAATTGTTAGTTAGATGACAGAAGACTGAACTCTGAAAACCAAGCACCATTTTTACAAAGCAGAAGTTAAAATCAGCCACAATTTCTTTATTTAAAACACAGACCTCAGTCACATTCATGTCACTATGGAAGTCACCAGTATTAACTGTGATCTTTTGTTTAAAGAACTGGAACAACTTACCAGAATTTCCTAAAATCCCCATAATCTGGCCACTTTCTATGTGAAATGAGACATCCTTAAGTATTTGCCGGGTCCATTTTTTACAATATAAAGAAAAATTCCACCATGGGCCAACACGCTCTCTTGGAAAACAAACAACAATAAAACAGTTAAAGAGAGAGAATACGTAAAAATTTTGCATAAAGCAAGTGAATGGTTCATAGCTACTTGCATGTGGGATGGGAGCTGCAAAGACTTTAAAATATGGGAAAACAAAAATTAAAGTATTTTCCCCCTTGCCCTTTCCCCTCCTAAGGCTTCAACTTTAGCATTACCTGGAAAATAAAACGAGATCTGAGCACGTTTTTCAGAATGATTGCTAAGAAGCTTTTGGACTACAACCAATAGGGCAACCATGAACTGTGGCTTTATTTGCCTATGATGTTTGCCAGCCGTTAATCCACCCGTCCCTTTCCTTAGGGCCTCGTGTTGTCCCTCTGGCAAGAAAGGCAGTGGGAAAGGGCACTTTTGGAAATCTCTAAAGCACGTCCTTCAGGGAGGCGTGAAAGGGATGCGGTGGGGCTCGGGAGGGCTCAGCCTTGAGGCGGCGGGCCCTGAGGCGCCATGAGGGGGGACCGGCACCATGAGGGGAGCCCGGCCCCATGAGGGGGACCCGGCAATATGAGAGGGCCCGGCACCATGAGGGGGGCCCGGCACCATGAGGGGGCCTGGCACCATGGCTCCTGCCGGGCTGGGCGGCGGCCAAACCCACGGCCCACAGGGCCAGCCCCGCTCCCTCAGCCCCTGGCCGGAGCAGGGACCCTCCCCACCGCCCTCCCAGCCCTACCTGATGGTGTAGGAGACACCCTGGACGCTGATGCTGTTGGGGAGTTGCCCCGCAGCCATGACCTTGCCTGCGTGCCCGATGCTGCCACTCTTCTGCAGGGCGGGAGACGCTCTGCCCGACATCCTCGGGTGCCGGGGCTCCGCAGTCTCCCTGCGTCCCTCACGCTGCTGGCCCGGTGCCTGCCCCTGCTACCGCCACTGTCACTGCCGCCACCACCACCATGCCTCCCCCGGCACCGCGCAGGGGCAGCTCCCGCTGTCCGGGGTCAGCAGGTCGGTGCCCCCGGCGCCTGCAACCTCAAAGAAAACAGAGGGGCTGCCTGTTCTTTCTTTTTCCGGAGAAGAACTGATCAGTGATTAGTTGAAGCCGCTATCTGATGTACCTTTAGCCTGAGCTATTAGTGTCCCAGAGGAGGGGAATATTTCCCTGTCCACGGGGTCATGCCAGCTGCAGAGACGCAGCGCGCCAGGAGAAATGGGGCTGCGGTGAGGGCGCCTGGAAAGGACTGCTTTCCAAACCAACAGAAGGATTTCCACAGCTTTCCTAGAGACGACAGTCAAACCACTGCAGGGAACCAGACCTTCCACCACCACCACCACCACCATCACCACCACCATGAAGGAAACTACTGAAAATGTCTCTCTGGACGATGCCAGCTGGGGGCAGGTGATGTGCGAGGGCTCGGCTGTGAGTGAGAGCCGCGTGGAGTGGGAAGGGACCCGAGAGGCTCGGCTGTCCCGCGGCTGCAGCGCTGGCCGGGAGCGGGGAGAGGCAGGCACCCATCCTGCCGGGAGCGGGGAGAGGCAGGCACCCATCCTGCCGGGATCAGGGGGAGGCAGGCACCCATCCTGCCGGGAGCGGGGAGAGGCAGGCACCCATCCTGCCGGGAGCGGGGAGAGGCAGGCAGCCGTCCTGCCGGGATCGGGGAGAGACAGGCAGCCATCCTGCCAGGAGCAGAGAGAGGCAGCCATCCATCCTGCCGGGAGCGGGGAGAGGCAGGCACCCATCCTGCCGGGATCAGGGAGAGACAGGCAGCCATCCTGCCAGGAGCAGAGAGAGGCAGCCATCCATCCTGCCAGGAGCAGAGAGAGGCAGCCATCCATCCTGCCAGCGGGCTGGCACAGCCAGTGAGCCCCGAGGTGCTCCCACTCCGAAGCGGGGAGCTGAGAGCAGGCACATCGCCCACCGCAGCACACTGGGCATGAGGCTGGTGCCATGCAAGCCCTGCTCAGGTGCCACCGTGGTGGAGCTGAGAGAGGGTCTCCAAATGTGTGCATGGGGGAGAAAGCCCCTGAGCATATCCTGGACTGGCTTTCCCAGGAAAGCCTTCAGTCTGGATCCCCACATTTGCTGGGGAGCACCTGTTTTCAAAATTTAGGTTCAGCATAAGGAAGGGCTCGGAGTGCTTTGGTAGCAGGGCTAGTTTGGAAGGCTTTCCTGGGGCTTCTCAGGCTGCTTGGTGTGATGTTGCTTTCTACTGAAAAAAATAATCAGCCTTGTTTGCTGTGAGGGCAGGAGGTGCACGCAAAGATCATGGTCATCCTCTGCCAAAGACACACAGGGAACAGGTACATTTGCCTTGGCTAGGGTTGGAGCCTGACAAGCAGGAAAAGCACAGGGCTGTGGGAGAGATATGGCTGGCTGGAAGGAAAACTGCAGGCATGCACACAGAGCTCAACCCAAAGCTAGGACTTCGTCATTGCAGCTCTATGCAAAAGGGCCAAGTAGGCTCTTATTATTTTAACTGATATCTCAGAACATTAAGTTCCAGCTGATAAATGGTGAATTTAAAAAACAAAAGAGAAGAAAGAGACTGCACTAGTGGCTGTGTTTTATTTGTTCATAAAGCCTCCAAGGAAACAAGTCCATGTGGAATTCAATAATGGACATGCTTCCAGTGAGCATTCATTTTTAGCTGCCAAAATGCATCAATTACAATATTGATTTTGATTCAGTAGACTAATACTGAATTATTCAGTAATATGCACCATTTTGATTCAGTACACTAATACTGCTGAAGTAGTACATCTTTTTTCCTCAAAAAAGTCTAATCTCTGTGTAGTGACATGACATTTATCTCCATTTTCAAAGTTTTCCCTTTTAATCTGAAAGCAACTAGAAGAGCACAGTACAGCATGTTTGGCCCTCATACATGTAACTAGAACAAAGTACTTTTTACACTGACAGTGAGTGTGAACTGATAACTCATTTCAACTCTTCAGACTTTTGCACTACAGTAACTCATCAATAATACTGCTACATCCCATAAATACATTTCCCTTTGTGCTTCACCTTTTCTGAACTCAGACTTTAGCATCACTTTAGTTATTGTAATTAACTGTTGTAATCCACCTAACAACTTTTCCAGACCAAGACGCGGGATAGTATTTTTCACCCTGAAGAAGATAACAGTCTTTATTTCACATACAGTGGAAAATCAAATGTTCTGGAGGTCAAAGAACTCAACTACCAGGTAAAAACTGTCATTTATACACCTCCCTTCAGCAGGAAGCGTATCCAGCAATGCCTTTTTCTATACCCAGACCATTTAAAATGCCAAATAAAGTTGATAAAGATCACACAACTGTTGCAGTCAGTTTGTGAGCAGAATCACACTCTTGGCTGCAATATTGACAGCAGACTAACCCCTGTATTGTAAATATATCTAGTAAAGTTAAGGGATAAGACAGGAATAGAGACCTGTTTCTAGGCCCTGCTTTGTTTCAGTCATGAGCAAAATGAATCCTCTGAGGGCTGGAGCAGAGGAACTTTCTATTCAGCTAAGGATGAAAGGAGCCCTTGCTGGCAAGAACGAGTATGTGGAAGGGGATAAAGAGATGACTAACAAAGAGGATTTCAATGAACCAGTGAAATATTTCATCTCCTCCTCACCATGGCATCTGAATAAGATTTCACAATTTTCAGTTTCCTTGAATTTCTAATTATATCTAAAGTTTGAAACATTTAAAATTAACAATAGTAATAAATTACTGAAGTAACAAAGGACACAGTTTTAGTGATTAACAGAACAAGAAAGGCATGAAAGCATAGGTGGCTGCAAAACAACTTCCTTCTAGGTATTTCTGAAGATGAACAACAATATTTTAATATATGCTTTGCTTGTAACGTTGTAACTTTGAAGGTATTTGTTGTTAAATAGTTTATTGCTTGAATTGAAGGGACTTGTTTCCTTCTTTGTTAGGTTAACACAGCATCCCAGATTCCCTGGTATGAGAACCTTGCTCAGATGAAAATGCCCTGGACCTGGAAATCGGATCCTCGTTCCCATGTGACAGTAATCCAAAATCTGAATCTAAAAGTGAGAAGTGGTCAGATGCTTGCAATTATAGGAACCACTGGTAAGAGCAACCACATTTTATTATATGGGCAGCTCTCAGATAAAATGAACACAATCTTGAGCAACACTCTGCAGTCTTTATGATGTTAAAATCTAGTTGAGAGAAAACTATTGGAGTGTCAGTAAAATACATTCTTTAAGTGGCATGATGAACAAGGAAACAAAGAAAATACTGAAGGGGAAAAATATTAGAATTCATTTTCAAACCAAATTCTGTTATGCCCTGCCCACATCTGCGTTCTGTTTCCTGAGGTATAGCGAGGTATTGTTACAAGTGTGGCCTGGCAGCTCCAGATCTGCTGGACGTGAATCAGTTTCATGGCTCAGATTCAAAACAGGCCAATTGCAGACCATACTCAGATAGCAAACAAATGAAGCCAAACCCCATAAGAAAGATCAGTGCCAACTTGCATAACCATAAGCAGGAATTCCATTTGGACTGAAACAATTCTAACAGGATAAAATATTGCATTTGTGTTAATTAATAGAAACTTACAGAGAAGAAAAGACAGTTCCTCTTCTGTCTGGTATTACTGCTTTATTACATTGGGGTTTGGATTTTTCCTTCCATTTTCTGGTGGGACTGGTCAAGGGGGAGAAGAAGTAGAAAGTGCCATACTTGGGAGGTGAAAACCCCCATGCTGTCTCTCCACTAGAGTCTTGCATCAGGTTAGCTCAATGATTTGGTGAAAATTCCCTCTCTCAAAGGCAAGGCATATTTGCCAAAAAAGTTCTAACTTAATTCCTAAAAAATGAGTTTTCTTTCCTATTGCCATGGGAATCTTTCCTTAGCACATATTGTTAAAGTAAGTGAAGCTTACCTTAGAGATTCATTCTCCTGATAATAAAAGGAAAAGCTTTGTGATGAAATAACATACTGAGTTATAGATATAGCACCTTTGTAAGGCAACATACACTGAGCACAAACCCCTTTCAGCAAACTAGTCAAACTATTTTCAAAAGCTGTTTATCATCTATTTCATCAAATGCCTTGGTAAAATGGATTAAACTGCTGATGGGTTTCACATTGTCAATGGCAATCAATATGTCACTCTTAAACAGAGCAATACATGGTTTACAGATGGATGGGTTTCTTTCTTAAGATGTATGTATTAAGAAGCAAGTGTGGAGTTAATCTTTCAACAAGGAGACTGGAAATAAATGACACCTAATCATAAGAGAGTTCTATGTGTTTACATACAGAATCATACAACAAAAAGGAGAAATTCATTTGCTGTTTAACTCCAGATCAGGTTTTGTTTTCATTGTTTTACTTTTCTTACCTCTGGGTATGAACCAGCTTTTCTTAATTATTTAAATGACTTTTTGTCTAATTCAAGTCATAATAATTTTTATTTCAATCGTGATTAATGTTCTTATTGTCTGTATAATCATTCAATGCCTTAGTCATTCAGCTGATCCAGCTGCTGTTTCTGAATTCACAAATCCCTCCACAAAGAAAGCTTTTGCTGAGCATTTAGGTGCCAGCCCTGCAGCCAGGGCAGGACCATCTCTGACCCGTGCTTCAAAAGTGAAAGGGAGTTTACCGAAGAGATAAGAGACACTTCTTGTGCTCCTGAAGCTGTCCTCAAAGCCCAACTACCCAGTTTTGCTGAGAAATGATAAGGGTTCAAACCACATACTACATACTCCATTCCAGAGGGGAGAGATTTCCGTAACAGGAGCTTATAGTCAGTGTTTTCTTTGAATATCATCCTGTCTCTGTGACTTTGGGAAAACTTAAGGAGGGGTTGGTAAATATTT